TATGACAACAGCGACGACGATGACGACAACGACAACAGCAAGAGCGATTGAGACAACAATGACGAAGACAACCACGATCACGGTCGTTGATTATGACGGTAACAACAACTATGGTTACAAAGATAGACTCAATAACGAAGATAATTCTCATATCATATCGTAGTTTTTTACAGGGTGTTAGTTAAGTATGTTGCCATATTCAACAGAGCGATTCTTTGATTTATTTCAAGTAAAAAAGTTCATATAAACATGTGGCCTAAACGGCTTAGTTTCAGAAATACAGGTGAATGTTCGCAAATGTTTGACGAAACGGTAAATTGCATTGGAGGTATCTTCCTGCATAAATATGCCTTGCTTCACGTGAGTTACCATTCGCACGACCGTAAACAAAGTAACAAAGTCAAAGTCATAAAATCAAAAATAGACTTCAGTTCTGTTGTGATTAGGAGCTCGACAATAGATGGTTATTAAGAACGAAGAAGTTTATTACTGATATATTACACAGAGAGACTTATGATCAGATGTGTATGGAGATACAGTCGACAGCGAACTGACTTGTTGTGAGAACTGCTAGACTTAGTATTGTCGTGTTATTAGTGGCAGAGGACGATATATTCTCGTGTAAAGATGACTTAACTAACACCCTGTATATATACGACGACGTCGACGGCAACGGGGATGGCGAGGACGGTAAAAGTAACGACGATGGCCATTGATGTTGATTATGACGGCAATAGTAAGCACGATCACGAAGATAGCCACAATAATGAATACAATGTTCTCATACGTTATAATCTTATATATACAGTCCGTAGCTCGATGAAAAAATTTTTTCAAAAAATGTAATATAAGTCAAGAAAAGTATAACATTTTACCTACAAAACGCATTTTTTAACATTTTCTTACAATTTTTTGACTGAGTTATATGACGTTGAAGAAAACCTTACATTTTTCTGAAAAATAATGGGTGTTTTCCAATTGCAATATCTCTAGACACTTTCATGCACACGGCGACACAAGTTGCATTCCAATTGTCGTAATCGTCGACACAACACTACACATCCGTATTCAGCTCGAAGGCTACTAATCGACTGTGTAAATTAGTGTTTTCTAGTGAAAATTAAAGTTAATAAGCGTAGCGGCTTAAAAAAAGATTGACATTTGCGACGTGAAGTCGCCAGGATAGTATCTTTTTTATTATTTAGATTTTATTATTTATTATTAAATAATACTAAAATATAAGCATAGTTGAAAAATAATCCTAACCGATATACCCTACCCGATATATATACACATTTACCCGATATAGTACACACTTTGTTCCAATTGAATCGTGCACAATGTTACACTTTGTGCATTTCTATGTACATATGTGTCAAAATATGTTAAGCAATTGGAAAGCACCCAATATTTACCGCCGGCATTAGCGTTACTCAATGTACACCATGTGGAGGTTGCCGATCATTTTTGCATATTATTTGTGTATGTGTGTGTGTTAGTAGAGATAAAGATTTTGCTGTTTGTTACTTTTGCAGTAATTAATGATTTCAAATTATCTTTACTCTGTGTGTGTGTGTGTGTGTTTGCGTGTGCGTGTGTGAGGACATAAGAAGGTGCCATTAGTTTGATCTTGCGTGACGCCGTCAAGGTCAGGTCGAGCTTTGCTTTTTTAAATAGAAACACATATTTTTTATTACGGGAATTTTATTCTACGTAAAATAGCAAACAACTTTTTTTTGAAAACATTTTTTATACGACCTCTATTTTCTAAGATATTTACGAAAATATCTTAAAAATTATTGGTTTCAATAATTTTATACTCGAATTCTATCAACTTTACCGAAAAATAGCAAGAGATAAAAATTTTCTATTTTCTTCTCATAGAGCTCTGAAAAATTTTTCAGAATTTTTTAATTAACTTTTTAGTACAGCATTTTCTTGCATTTTCTTGAAGTACTAAAAAGTTAATTAAAAAATTCTGAAAAAATTGTCAGAGCTCTACGAGAAAAAAAAAAATAATTTTTATCTCTTGCTATTTTTCGATAAAGTTGATAGAATTCGAGTAAAAAATTATTGAAACCAATAATTTTGTAGATATTTCCGTAAATATCTTAGAAAATAGAAGTCATATAAGAAATGTCTTCAAAAAAAAGTTGTTTGATTCTTTACGAAGAATAAAATTCCATAATAAAAAATATATGTTTTTGTTTAAGAAAGCAAAGTTGACCTCGACCTGACCTTGGCGGCGCCACGCAAGGTCAAACCAATGGCACCTTCTTATGTCCTCCATCGAACCATATAACTTTTGTCTGAAACATTTTTGCTAAATATGCTTGGTTGAAGAATTATCAAGGTGCATCTTTTAAAATGGGACACCCTGTATATGTGTATGCGCTGCTATTATAAATGTTTCAATACGACCCGGGCACGTCAAGTTTTTGTACTTTAGTTGGTTTTGATTAAAATATCCCGTTCTGTGGGATTTAGAATTTGTATAAATTTTCAATAGAACATATATAAACTTAGAATTTATGTACTTTTATGTTAATAAAATTGATATAATTTTTTATAATGATAAAATTTGCTGCAAATGCTAAGGGAATATTATCATTTATCTTGATAATAGTAAAGGATATTTCAGCATTTTTCAAAAGATTTTTTATATAAATATGTTTGGATCGAAAAGTTCTTTTATTGCATAGTAAATGCATATTTTTTATATATAAAAATGTTTAATATAAAAAAAGTTTTTTGTTATATATGATTTTGATTTTTATGTGTTAGTTTCTCATATTATCAGTTATAATCTATTGTAACTTGATAATAATGAATCTTATATTTGACTTATTTTATTGATATTATGTTATTTTTTGAGCTTTATTTTCTATACATTTTTCTTGGATAAGGATGTTTTCTTTATATTTAAGTTATGATAAGTGGTATTTAAAATTAGTAAAATAATAATAATATAAAGGATTGTTTTTATATAACCTTTCATAGAAGTTTTTCTTAGGCTTTTTTATGGAGGGTTTTTATTGAGTTTTGTGTTTTTTTTTATGAGTGTTCTGTTAGATTGTTTTTTCATAGGGTTTTTGTTAAGTTTTTTATGAAGTTTTTATTAAATTTTTTTGTGGATAGATATTTTCACATACTCGTTATATTTGGCGTATTTTTTATCTTTGTGATTAAGAATATCCAAAAAATTAAATACAGCTTATTTATATTCATATTAGAAGCTTTTTAAAAGATGAGAGAAGAAAATTCGAAAGAGAGAGAGTCACTAAATAAGGGTCGCTCTAATACACATATATATATATATATATATATATATATATATATATATATATATATATATATATGTGTATTAGAGCGACCCTTATTTAGTGACTCTCTCTCTTTCGAATTTTCTTCTCTCATCTTTTAAAAAGCTTCTAATATGAATATAAATAAGCTGTATTTAATTTTTTGGATATTCTTAATCACAAAGATAAAAAATACGCCAAATATAACGAGTATGTGAAAATATCTATCCACAAAAAAATTTAATAAAAACTTCATAAAAAACTTAACAAAAACCCTATGAAAAAACAATCTAACAGAACACTCATAAAAAAAAACACAAAACTCAATAAAAAC